GTGAAAGGTAGCTAATGTGTGTTCTTATATGATGAGCACACCTCTGGTTTCTTTTATCTGAGCTGCTTTCAGATGTGAAATCTCTCCCTAAGCAGGATTAACCATGGCATAATGAATCAAACTGCTTGGAGGCTTTTTCTGGTGATCTAGTTGAATTTGGCAGTTAACTTCCTTCCTTCTCTTCTAGTTCTACCAGCTGAATTTATCTATGAGTTATTCTCCTTTCTTGCAACATTTAAACAGGAGAAGGAAACTGCATAGCTTTCCCACTCTTTCATTGTTTTCCCTACTAAGCCAGTCCCTCACAATTCTTGGTCATTTTTTATTATATCTTTATTTCCTACTTTCCCTCCCAGTTTCATACAAATTTAAAAAAAATTTGTCGAGCCTCTTCTCTTAGGCTGTGAAACTGTAGAACAGCATACTTGGATTGCTGCTGAGGTAAATAACACAGTTTCTTACGGTTCACAAAAGTGATTCTTAAATTTTGAATGAGACAGCTTTGTGATGCAGAAAGCTGAGACTGCCAGTTACTCAACCAAAGCCTCTTCTTCCCAACAGGGAGCAGCTGGGGAGAAAGGAGAACACCCAGTAGACTATACAGACAAGGCTCCTTCTGGAAATTAAATGGTTTATCTAAAGTTATCAAACTGCTGACTGCTTTTTTAAAGAGGTACTTCAGGGCTGAGGAAAGAACTGCAGTTCTATTTGTCAAATCCAAAGGAAGAATGATCCTGGAATTTATTATCCTATGCTTAATTTCTGTATTTAGCAAAACACTGAAAGCAGGATTTATGAAATAAACAAACCTGTTTCCGGAAGATGATGGCAGCTCTATGCCTTTAGCAGTAGTGGCGGCACAGTAAATGTATCTCACCAGAAAATCTTTTCTTTTATAGGACAATAAAATTAGTGAATGAAAGCTAAAAGAGGTATAATGGATCTGGGTTTTAACAAGCATATGAATCAGTATCTCATGAGATCGTACCTGAAAAAAAAAAAAAAATCATTGTATTTTGCTGGGAAAAGACATGGAGAGAATAAAAGGAAAAGAGTAGAAGAGAGAATCTTGTGACTGTGGTTGGAGATTTGACTAAGATGAGGTGACCTGATGCTCAGGGCTCCAGCCAGTGGATTTAAATCCTTGCTCTGCCACGGACTTTACAAGGGCACTCAATTTCTTTCTGTGTTCTTTTCACATCACTTCTTTTCTTGGTTTGCCATCATTAAATGAAAAATGGTACTCTTGTCCTTCCTGCTTGTGAGAATGATGGCTTTTAACATTGAGAGTTTCCATGAACTGTGGGAGTGCAGACCATGCAACAATATCAGATTTTTCCACTGCCATATGAGCAATTATAACAAGCTTTCCATTTTTCATCCTTTCATGTGTCATGCACAGGGTGAGCAGACTCTTGATTTGCCTTTGTGGGAAGACAAAAAAAAATTTAACTGGTGTTTGAAATTGTCCTGAAATGACAGCAAGAGAGGAAAAAGGGTCTTTTCCTTTTACTTCATCCTGGAAATGGTTAAGAGGAGCTCTTTGGTGAAGCTATGCAGCAACAGTTCAGACTCATGGCCGTGTCATTTAATGTTTGCTTGGCTTCCTGGTGATTTGGAATGAAAGGGGATTGGCTTCTCTGTCCCCCTGCAGCCTGGGGACACTGCTGCTCCTGGGCCCAGGAGCATTTGCTATGCCCACTCCCCTGAACATGTGTGCTAGCCAGAGACATTGTCTCTAACGTAGGCTGGGCAGCTCTTTCTCACACGCTCTTCTGTATCAAACACTTCCCACCTTGAAAACTTCCTTGGTTAACTGCTAATTTCAAAATCATTATTAATGTATTTGCGCAGGGATTTTGGAATTTAATTAGCCTCTTTTGAACTGTTCTTAGAGTGTTTGTCTAGAGAAAGAGAAAATCCCTCCATGGCGTTTGCTTTCCCCATTCATTGGTTTTCACTGGAAGGGAAAGATACTGGCTGGCTTTGCAGGGCTGCATCCTCCTGGTGCCACTGATGCTGCAGCTGAGGATAAGCCACAGGCTCTGCAGAGGGAGCAGCTGGTTTTGGGGTGCATCAAGGCCCCTCCTGGCCATGAGTGGGTTTATGTTGGCACAGACTGGGCTGCTGAGCACAGCAGGACTCAGCCAGCTGGTGACAAGGGGCTGTGCAGTGTCCCAGCACACAGCTTCTTCTCACTGCTGACCCAGGCGTGTTTGCACCCAGACAGCCGCGCTGGCTGAACTGGGCTCCCATTTCCCTCTTCATTAGTTTCCTTTGGGAAATTCCACTCCCTGACTGAGATCTGAATGGGTGTCACTTCCAGAGGCCAATTGGCACAGTGTGATTTTCATCTCACTTTTTGAAAGCACCGTCTTCAGGACAGTGGTTCTGCCACGCCCCATCCAGAACGTGTTGCAGGCTGTGCATGTTCATGTGTGCGAATCTGCAGGCTCTCCGTTTTCATTCAAAGGCTGGTTTAAGTTGGATTTTCTTCCTTTTGTCTGATCCAGCTTTGAGAAGCCAGGCTGGGCATAGCAGGATGGGGTTTCTGGTGTTCCCTGCTGCTGCAGGAGCACATGCGCTCTCCTGCTCTCTGGCAAACCACAGTGGTTATGACCACTGCCTCTGGTAGTGTTGTATTGGTCCCAAATTGAGGAAGGATGACTAACTTAATCACTCGATAGTTTTGATTTCTAAAATTAAACAGCCTGCCATATGTGCAACCCTGTTACTATATTTATGCCAGCAGTTAGCAGAGAGCACCAGCCAAGCTGGAGGGGCTTTGCAGCTGCAGCTCGTGCCTGTACTGCTGCTGCTGTGAGCACACAGATGTTGCTTTGCCCTTTCCCTAAATGCAGCCCTGTGGACACTCCTCCTGTGGAAACAAAAGCACTTGTACTCATAGAGCTTTCAGGACACTCTTCAGCCATTGCTTTTAAACATGCCCTGATGCTCCCTGGTGAACCTCAGCTCCCAAGAATTGGTGGAAGGATTCAGGGGCTGGATCAAACCCAGGAGACAGTGCAGCAAGCCAAAAGTGAAGGCTCCAGCCCCAGTGCTCAAGCAGGGACAGTGAGTGAGCTGCAGTGGCTGCCCTGAGGAAATGGTGGGTGCTCCCCCAAAGAAGTCACCTTGAGGGCCATGCATGGCCCCAGGGGACACGTGGCAGCTCCTTTTCCTGGGTTGCCTGAGCTGTTCAATGAATTAGGGGGTTGAGACGCCTTTCTTCCACCATTTGTTTTGTAGGAGCTCAGTTAGCACCATGCAGATTTATTTGGATTCTAGGAGAAAGGAAATAAGATGAATAAGCAGTGGATGAAAGCCAAGGTGAAATGTACTGAAGTGAAAGGAGTGAACTCTTGTTTTTTGGAGGAGGGCAGACTGAGGGATGAGATGTTGGTTATTATTTTGGTCCAGGCAACATTCCTCTGTGATCTTAGACATGTTGCTTGACTTTGTTTGCTAGCAGGAAATCTGGCTTGCCTAGCAGAAGGATTAAGAGGTGGAATGAACATTTAGCACTAACTAACCAAGAGTGTTTGGGTGAAACTGAAATATTTTGACATATTAGATCTGATTTTACCAACTGACTTGGTGACTTATAGGTGCTTTTGTTTGGTGTCGAGCAAGTGTTACTGCAAAGCATTAGCAGAAGTGTTTGGGTAGGGTTGCATGTGCTTGTTGAGTAGGTGGCAATAGAAGGTTTGTTTTTCATTTGCTTGGGTTTTTTATTTAAAACAATTGGAATCTTTGGGGATTTCTTTCTTGTGGAACAGAGCTATATGCATCTGGCATCTGTATGTAATAAAAGTAGAGAGTATCTCTGACCCTTAGGGCAATGTCAGATTGAGAAACCTACATCAATTAGATCAGAAAAAACGAACTTTAGTTAAGTTTCTGTGCCTGTTGCACACTCTCCTTTAAGGATGCATGACTGATTTTGGATGTTAGGGACACCTCAGAGCACCTGGAGTAACCTATGTACATCCAAACACTGTGAACTAACCTGTCTCCTTTGGAGAGAGGCATTTTGTAATAGCCCCACAAATTTTGGAGATCATCTTCCATACCTGATCATCATTTCAGTGTCCCTAAGCTGTCTAGAGCTAGTTCTTGTTTAACTGTTACAGCTGCATGAGACTTGCACACAAAGATCAGTTTTCATTCTGGAATTACCCCACAACATGTAAAGTCTTAGAAATTTCATTGATGTAAAGAGCAAAATGAAATATTAACAGGCACTTTTTCAAAATCTTCCCTCCACTATTTTTTTTTTGGCGGGGGGTGAGGTGGTTTTTTTTTCAATCTACTTCCTTCTGTTCCTTGTTTATTGGGAGCCAAGGAGGAGGTTTGCTGGACTGATTGCTGTTGTTTATTAAGCTTGCTTCCTTTAGGAAGATTTTCAAGACCACTGTGGTCAACACAGGGAAATGCCTTCTTATGCTCCACCTCTGCTCAGAGGGCAGGAGTCTGGCATACAAAAACAAACAAGAAAACCTTGGGAATAATCCTTTCATAAAAGAGACAGAGCAGACTCACAGCATTTGACGTTTTCTGGAACCAGGATCATAATTTCTATGGATTCACAGAACCTTGATGTTTTGTACCTTAAAACAGCATTTGCCCTTGCAGGCAAAATGAGCCTTTATGTTTACTGTTTCACTGGTGGGTAGCTCCAGATAAATTACTTAAAATTCTCAGGTGGAGAAAGGAAGAGATTCTTCTGTGCCAGAGCAGCATGGGCAGCAGGCAAGTGAGCTGGCTCATCTCCTTGGCTTGTTGCCTTGGGTGCGTCAGACTTTCTGCTCAGTTTCTACATCCCAACAGTCCTGTTTGCCAGTGTTATTAGTATTTATTATACATTATAAATTATTACAAATTATAAATTATTAACATTTGGAAGAGGCTTAGATTTATTTGCAGAGAGCTATTCTGGGCAAAAGAAGGATGAGTAGATTTTTTGTTTGTATTGGGTTTTTTAATTGGTTTGCTGTTTTGGACTTTTTTTCCTAATTCTCTTTTATTTTTTTTTTTTTATTTAGTTAGCTAAGTTTGAGTCCATACTTTGACTCATATTTTAAACAGCAGCATCTAGGAACTCACTGTTTCTGCCAGCAGGGCACTTGGCCCTCTTCTCTTTACTGTGCTCTCTGCCTCCCTTCTGAAAGATGATGTGGGAATATATTGATCCCAGCTTTTAGGACTTGTTCTATTTCTGAACCCAGATTGCAGTATAAAGTACAAACACCATTTTAAAATGGAAGATCTATATTAGAATGACTAAGAGAATAAATTAAAGCACTGTCCTATCTCTCCTGGTCTGCAGGCTGTGGTTAAGGAGGGAATGCCCAGTGCTGTCTACCTGAATGATGCTTTAGAGTCTCCAGTATCAGGGGACTTCAGTGAGCACAGTATTGATTTTTGTTCCTACATTAAGCTTTTAGCTTTGCAAATGGTTTTCTTTGAAATCATTAACATTGCAATGTGCAGTCTGAAATAGCTCTGCTGCTGTGCAGGTGCCACCTCTGATCCCTTCCTTCTTCCCTTCCTCTGCTGAACCATCATTCAGCTGATACACCTGCAGGAGGGTGAAGAGAAAAGGAAGTGAAGTTGCAAGCCAGGACAGCCTTGGAACTGGGTGAGGAAGACCAATTTTTCAATAAATTGGCAACGTTTTAAGCTTTCTTAGTGGTTGTGAGCCTAGGGTGGGAGAATGGAACACAGTCAAGGGCTGCGTCTGTATCCTCTGGGTGGTACCTGGCTGTGGGTGTGGGGAGGTTGTAACAGCTCAGTGGGGGCTGAGAGCTGCCATCAGCATGTTTATTCCTGCTTGGATAAAGCATCTTAGGTAAATTCAGCTATCAGGTAAGCTCAGATTTTCCCACCTCAAGACGGAAGACAGTGAAGTGGCAACAGGGAAACACTGGGGGTCTGTTACTAACATCAGACTGAGGTCTGCATCAGGCCCCATGAGGTTTGCTTGTTAGAGGATTAACACAGCTGAACCAGTAAATCAAGATGGTTATGGTTGTTTCAGATTTATCCAGATACTTGTTTGATGGGATCTGCTTGCAGACAGGAGCATGTCACTGCAGACACAGCTATGCTGCTTGGAGCAGCTCACTGCCTCTCTCCCTTCCCTCTGTTACTCTTCCCTCTCCATGCCTGGCTTCCTGCTGCCAGGGCTGACCCTCAGCCCAGGGCAGTGGGAAGGCTGCTGCAAATAGGTGCATTCTGTGAAACTGTCACCTCTGGGAAAGATTGCAGAGACAGGCACTGGTGTGCCCAGGCAGGGTGGGGATGATCCACAGGGGAATGGTCTCCAGTTGTATGGAGGAGGAATGATGTTTGTGTCTTTTGCTTTTGTCTGTGTGCATGAGCCCAACGACCTGAGTCCTTCAAGTCTAATTATACTGCTTAATTTCAGGACAGGACAAGGAGCTTTTTGCCCTTAACACTCCTGACTTTGCTGCTGTGCTGAGTTCCTGGGAGATAGGGATGTCTGTCTCTCCTGTTACAGAAAGGAGGTGGATGTCATGTAGTCACAGAAGTGACAAGTGCCCAAGTCCTACTGGCTTTTCTGTCACCTAGCCTTCATGGTTATTTTAATTTCAATTCTTTGTGGGAAGGAGCTGGAAGGGCTGGAAGGGACTTAGAAATATTGTCTAGTGCTTTCTGTTGCCCCAAGTTGGAGTCAACTTGCTCAAAGATTTGTTTTGGTGCAGCACAGCACAGGATGGGCTCTGCTGCTCTGAGCAGCACTGCCTGTCCTACTCCCACCAGACCCTGCTGGACCCCTCCTCTGCAGTGTAGGGCATTCCTGCGCGTAGGAAACTGCAGCTGCCTCCTCTCTCTGCACTGTGCAGCCCTCCTGGGGAATACTGCAATGCCAGAGCCCAGTTTATTTGCAGTAGCAGCTCTGCAGTCATGCTGTTTGGTCTGCATTGTGATCCTTCATCTAAACCAGTCATTCCCACACACAAGCAGTGTGTGTAGAGCTGGAACATTTGATTTGTGCTTTGACTTAGTTTTTGTCTCCATCAAGACAGCTCAAATAAGAGGCAATTTTTTTTCATGGCTAGAAAGCTTCCCAAGCTTGCTGTTAGTGAGTGTGCTTCAGGAAGAGACCAGTCTCCCACCTTAGCAAGCAGCAGAGAAAAATTTTCTTTTCTGTGGTTTCCTCCCTCCCCCAGTCCACTAGTGTGTCAAAACCTTGAGTTTTGTGTAAAGTTGTTAAATAAGCTTCTAGGCAAAATAAAAGATCAAAAGGGGTCTAATTAGTTGCAGTCTGCTTAGGAATTGTGGTTGTTTACCTAGTTTTATAAATTGACACTTTTAACATTAGAACTCAAAGCAAAAGCGATGTAATTATTCCCTTTTTTGAAGCTTAGGTTTAATGTCTTTATTGAAAATTGGATATTTCTGTGGCATCTCAAGATGCTTTATTCTATCAAATCTGGAGCAAGTAATTTTTCATTTTGGATTGTAATGTGGTATAAATGATAAGGGCCTGATTCAGAAAGCTTTTTTTGTCCCCACCACTTGCAGCCTGACGAGAAAGCTTCGCAGTCACCTCACAATAACCCTGAAGATAATCAAGGGTTTGAGTCTTTGTGAAGCTGCTAGCTCTAATACAAGGAAGGAGTGAGAATTCTGAGCTCTTAGGTAGGGTGCCTGAAGCCAGCTTGTCATCACAGGATTTTTAGTTCTTTTCGTATCTCTTACCAGTTGTAGGATGCCAAGGCAAAAATGTATTTCTCCTATAACTTTTCTGTGCTGTGATCATGTCTCTGAGAGTACCATGTACCTAATTTAAATCTCAGAGAGGGTAGCAGGTAGTTGAATGGAGATCATCTGGTGATTAAAGCAGAGGAGAATGAGAGAGAGATGAGTTCTGTTATAAATTTCTCAGTTTTGCTCTGGTATGACCGGATCATGTGTCTTGTTTCCCAGTCTCTGATCATTTGGACATACCATGCATGAGTCAATTTCGCATGTCCAACCTCACTAAATCTGACCTCAGCATCTTAGAGCAGCGTGGATAGAGGAGGGGAGGGTCCTCATGAAGTCGTGTTAGGGCTTGGATAGGTTATGATTTTTATTTATACTGTGGCAGGACTCACAGACTCCATTTAGAACCAGAAGTTGATGGTGCTGGTATTTTACTGATGCAGAGGAAGTCCTGGTGCCTGCCCTAAGACCTTACCACCCATCAAGACAAATGGCAAATAGAGGATTTGTGTGAGGGTGATTGCAGGAAAGAGTCAGTCCTTCAGTGAACTTTTAACTTTTTTTCTTTTTGTGTTTATCTAAAAGTTCATGCAAATTGAGGTGGGTTTCTTTGATCTGAGAACTGTCTTTTGTAATTTCAGCTGCTCCCTGGCTTGTGTCAGAAATACTGTGAGTGGGGTCTCTCTGGGGTTTTTGCACAGCCCAGCTTTTAGCTGGGCTAGGAGGGACGTGAGGCAAGACCTATACATCAGAACAGGATTAGCAGTAAAGAAATTTTTATTGGCATATTTTATATTGTCCTAATTCAAAAGTTTCAGTTCCTGATGATCATTCTGGGCATAGGTTCAAGGTTTCATTTGCACTTGGCTCAGTTCAGATGCTGGAGGAAATTTTCATGATGGGAGACAGGTCCTTTTCCTTCAAAAGCAGAATTTCTCAGTAGATGGTAGGATTGGATAAGAGCTTCCTTTGAGAATCCAGAAGGGATTTGCTTGGATTTTTCTAATTCTGCTTTTCTGACACAGCATGGTGATTAGAGGAGAGCTTTTCAAGTGTCCCTCTGAGAGTGTGAGTACAGTCTGGCTACTTGCATCTGGGGGGTTTTCAGTAATTAGAGCTCACCAAATGAAAAACTTGGTACATCCATATATTCTATAAAGGTTTCCCTGAGAAAATGGGTGTTTATTCTTTAGTAACCCTAAATCTTTTTATGGGCTAACTAGCCATACAGCAGAAGCACAGTCCAAGGCCTTTTCCCACTTGCTGCCTACATGATGCCCACTGGCAGAGCACAAGAGCAACTCTGTGAGCCTGCAGAGAGTGATGCACACAGTTTGGGATAATGTAACATCAGGCTGCTGTGAAGGGCAGCTCAGCCCCTGTGTCCCACCCAGAGCCAGAGGAGATGGATGTTCTCCCTGGCTCTGTGTTGGGTCAAGGGCTCAAACGTAGTGGAGCTCCCCTGTGCTGTCAGACTCATTGCCAGGAGGGTTTGAGTCACGCAGAGCATCACCCCTGGGAAGCTGAGTTTGGACAGCACAGAGCATCTTGCATCTGGCTGTCACACTGCCATAGTGGTCATTAAATAACATTTCAGTGTTTCAGAGCTCAGTGGTTTTGTTTAAGTATCAAATAAGGATTTTCTTTTATCTGAATTTAGCTTTATCATCTGGTTGCGTGGTTGACTTGAGTAGGAGCACTGAAAGTCTGCAGAATTCCCAAAATACACCAGAGTGAAAATCCTTATGATTTCATAAACTTTACAAATCAAGTAACTGGACTAATGGGTTTGTGATCTGCAACTAAGGGACATGAATGTGTGCACATGTTAGAGGCAGGAAACCAGCACTTCCACCAGAACGAACACACAGCTGCTTCTTGGGTGAGGTGAATGCAATCCACACTTTTTATTTCATCTTCCCCAGGTAGCTTATACCAACTTGCCTACTCTAACAGTTTCCTGTAGACATATGTGATTTTTCCTTTTTTTTCTTACTCCTCAGGAACATGCAAGTCTTGTAAATTCCCATTATTGTTTAACCCCTTAGAAGCTCCCCTGAACTGGCCAATGCACTGTACTGCTGTGCCTTGAGTCCACTGTATTGTGTCTAGATAATGCCTGGTGCTTCAGTGTCAATCCAGGAATTTCCAGGTTGTACATCACCAGGTAGGTAATAAAGAGAGAAATTCTTATCTGAACATGGGGTTACAAATGCACATTATTGAGCTGGATTAAACATGTTGTTATATGTATTATTGCCATGTTTTGACTACCTACAAACTAGAGCATTAATCATGTAATTACATAACTTATGATTACCTAAAAATGCTCCCTCTTCAAATGACTGTTGCAAATTTGTCATCTGCTTATTGTGCTTCATTAAATATGTTGCAACTGGGTTATAGTCTTCATTAGTTTCACAGAATAAATCCAAAACCAAGGATAACCCTCTTTTTTTCACTGAAAGAAGCAGTCGTGGGTGTTGGTGTATGTCTCCTTCACCAAGAGAAGTCGTGGTCCTAACCTCACTTCCAGTGTTTCTGATTCTTGAGGGTTTCCTAGGTTTCAAGAATAAGCCTCTCAAGAGCAGCATACAGAAAACAGGGATTTGTAAAATAATAATATTAACTTCTATAATTTATACATTTGATTTCAGATTCCTTTCTTTCAACCGTTTTGTTTTCAGAAGCATTCATCAGAGCACTGGGTTTTAATTTCCTTTTAACTGACAAATTTTGGAATCAGACAAGATACATTTCTCTGATTACTGCTGGACAAGGCTTGTAGGTAGAGATAGTGTCTTTTATTAGATGGAGCAGCATGGTTGGAGAGCTCAGGCAAACTTTGAGGCACACGAGCCCTCCAAATCTGAACCAGAAGCTGTCAGTGCTAAGCATGTGCTGAAT